GACAAAGAAAAGAATGATGAGGGAGAAGGGGATTCATAGATGATAGCAACGTCAGCAGGGCTTGCTTTTATCGCTAATCTGGGAGTAAATGTTAAACCTCCCTGGTTTCTCCCAGAGCATCAAAAATACACACCCTTAGGGCGGATCAAATGTGACTTTAGAGCGACTAAAAGGATACTTTAGCATGCAAGTAATGACAGTTATCGACGACATTCATGAAAGACCTCGGGCGCTTTTGGAAAGTGTTCGGAAATTTCAAAACGATAACTTTGAGTGCAGCATCTCAACAGTACAGTTTACCTGTTGGTCTTGACAGGGACTACCACTGCCTTGGTAGACGGTGTTCAATTAAACTTGATTTAGACTGTAAATCGTAAACCTTCATAAAATAGACTGTACTCTCTTTTTCCACAGCCATAGAGGGGAAAATGCAAATCAACTGAAAACTGGTGTGGATGCGAGAGCTGATGAGGCATCCACCTCGCATGCAGGTTTCTCGTTCAACATGAGCCCGACTTTACTTAATCGAATGTTACATCGGTGAGAGTTGCCACACAAAGAAACCACTGCAACGCGGCTCTTCTTGTCAGGATCCGAGCTATCCCAACCGCTGCATAAATTTTCAAGCCACGACGCTCAGAAGAGGGGTTTAAAATTTCCGTGTTCTAAGCCTAACTTTAGTTCTAAGCCAAACCTTAACCCCAAAAATAAGTTTGTTAGAATTTGGCGTAAGTCCACCTATATGACGGGAGTTATTCATTCTTCTTTTGGCGTGAGGGGGAGGGGTAGTGGTAACCCCGACCTGGCAACCGACAGAAAACGAAAAAGCCATCTTCGGCGTAAAAATACACAAAAATGCAAAAAAGACAAATTTTGGTGTCAATAAAAGCGAGTCCCAGGAAGTAATTGAGAAGAGGAAGACTCGATCGCAGGGAAGATACTTTTATTCGCTTGACGTTTCGAGATCCGTCGTGGATTCATCATCAGACATAAGCAGAAAACAGTAGCAGATATAGTAGACCCGTGT